CCGGCACCGGCACCGGCACCGGCACTGGCAGCGCCCGATGGCACCGGGACCCCCGGCACCGGCACCGGCACCGGGACCAGCACCGGCCCTGCGCTGGCAGCGCCCGATGGCACCGGGACCCCCGGCACCGGCACTGATCCGGCCCGGCCCTGGCAGCGCCCGATGGCACCGGGACCCCTGGCACCGACACCGACCCTGCGCTGGCAGCACCCAATGGCACCGGGACCCCCGGCACCGACCCGGCCCGGCCCTGGCAGCGCCCGATGGCACCGGGAGGAAGCCTCGGGGCACCTGGGACCCCCAGCAGCAGAGGGGGGAACAGTGCAGGGGTCACGGCATGGGCATGGGGGACAAGCGTGTGCATGTACAGAGCACATGCGTGACATGTGACGTGTGGCATGTGACATGATGTAACATGTGATGGGACGTGTGATGGGATGTGAGGTGTGACGTGTGATGTGATGTGTGATGTGACGTGACATGTAATGTGACATGTAATGTGATGTGACATGTGATGTGACATGACATGTGATGTGATGTGACATGTGATGTGACATGTGACGTGATGTGTGATGTGACGTGTGACATGATGTGCGATGTGATGTGTGATGTGACATGTGATGTGACATGTGATGTGTGATGTGACATTTGATGTGACATGTGACATGATGTGCGATGTGTGATGTGACATGTGATGTGACATGTGATGTCCCCCCCCCACCAGGCAGCTGCCTGCACCCCTTAACCCTCATAGGCAGGGTCCCACCAAGCGCCAGTCCCGGGCACCAGCACCGCTGCCAGCTCGACCCATGGGTGCGCCCCTGCCTGTACCGGCTGCATGGGCAGCGCAGGCAGGAGGTGATGCAGGCAGGATGGGGCACGGGTAGGATGTGGTGCAGGCAGGGTGCAGCGCAGGCAGCTGCAGCATGGGGAAGGTGCAGTGCAGGCAGGATGTGGTGCAAGCAGGATGGAGCACAAGGAGGGTGATGCAGGCAGGATGGAGCACAGGCAGGATGTGGTGCAGGCAGGATGGAGCACAAGGAGGGTGATGCAGGCAGGATGGAGCACAGGCAGGGTGCAGTGCAGGCAGGGTGCAGTGCAGGCAGGTGCAGCATGGGGATGGTGCAGCGCAGGCAGGATGTGAGGAAGGCACAGGCAGGACGCCATGCAGACTCTGCATCTGCAATGCAGGCAGGGAGCAGGCACAGAGTGAACAGCAGGACAGGCAAGGTGCAGGCAGGGTAACAGCGGGCAGGGAGCAGGCAGGATGCGATGCAGGCAGGGAGCAGACGGGGTTAACAGCAAAAAGGGGTAACAGTGGGCAGGGAGCAGTAAGGCAGGGTTAACAGTGAGCAGGATGCAGGCAGGGTGTGATGCAGGCAGGGTGCTGTAAAGCAGGGCTAACAGCAGGCAGGATGCAGGCAGGATGCGATGCAGGCAGGGAGCAGTAATGCAGGGTTAACAGTGGGCAGGATGCAGGCAGGGTTAAGAGCAGGCAGGATGCAGGCAGGATGCGATGCAGGCAGGGAGCAGTAAAGCTGGGTTAACAGTGGGCAGGATGCAGGCAGGGAGCAGTCAGGGTTAACAGTGGGCAGGATGCAGGCAGGGTTAACAGCAGGCAGGGTGCAGGCAGGATGCAGTAAGGCAGGGTTAAGAGCAGGCAGGATGCAGGCAGGATGTGATGCAGGCAGGGAGCAGTAAAGCAGGGTTAACAGTGGGCAGGATGCAGGCAGGGTTAAGAGCAGGCAGGGTGCAGGCAGGATGCAGGCAGGATGCGATGCAGGCAGGGAGCAGGCAGGATGTGATGCAGGCAGGATGCAGGCAGGGTTAAGAGCAGGCAGGATGCAGGCAGGATGTGATGCAGGCAGGGAGCAGTAAAGCAGGGTTAACAGTGGGCAGGATGCAGGCAGGGTTAACAGCAGGCAGGGTGCAGGCAGGATGCAGTAAGGCAGGGTTAAGAGCAGGCAGGATGCAGGCAGGATGTGATGCAGGCAGGGTGCAGGCAGGGAGCAGTCCCCAGGGCAGGACCCCCCTCCCAGCCCCATAGCCCTGGTAGCCCAGGACACAGAGCACGGGGCCGGAGAGTGGCACGGAACACACGACACGCGGCACTGCGTGTGGCACAGGGGGCATGGCACACACGGGTGGCACGTGGCACAGGGTCACACACGTGTGGCACACAGTACAGTACATAACACATGGGTGGCACACAGCACATAACATGTGTGGCACACGGCACAGGACATAACACACATGTGGCACATGGCACAGTACATAACACACATGTGGCACACAGCACAGTACATAACACATGGCCCTGGCACACGTCCCATGTCGGGTGCCGCTATGGCCCTGCCACAGCCACTGCTGCAGGTCCCGCTCCAGTCCCTGGCACACGCACTCCAGTTCCTGTCCCCATCACCAGCACACAGGACACGGACCCTGGCCCCAGTCCTTCACTGACCCTGTGCTCCAGCCATGGCCTGGCCCCTGCCATACAGCACATGGGACATGGCACACAGCACATGGCCCCTGCCATACAGCACATGGCACACGTAACCCAGTGCATGGCACACGTACCCCAGCACGTGGCCCATGCCACGCAGCCCCTGGCACACGCGCCCCAGTTCCTGTCCCCATCACCAGCACACAGGACACGGACCCTGGCCCCAGTCCTTTATTGACCCCGTGCTCCAGCCATGGCCTGGCCCCTGCCATACAGCACATGGGACACGCAACCCAGTACATGACACACGTACCCCAGGACATGGCCCCTGCCATACAGCACATGGGACACGTAACCCAGTTCCTGTCCCCATCACCAGCACACAAGGCACGGACCCAGGCCCCAGTCCTTTATTGACCCCGTGCTCCGGCCATGGCCTGGCCCCTGCCATACAGCACATGGGACACGTACCCCAGCACATGGCCCCTGCCATACAGCACATGGGAGATGACACACATCACATGGCCCACGTCCCCATCACATGGCCCACGTCCCCAGCACATGGCACATGTCCCCCAGCACATGGCCCATGCCACGCAGCACGTGGCACACACCCCAGCACATGACCCATGCCATACAGTGCATGGTACATGTACCCCAACACATGGCACACGTCCCTCAGCACATGGCCCATGCCATACAGCACGTGGCACACGCATCCCAGTTCATGTCCCCATCACCAGCACACAGACCCTGGCCCCAGTCCTTTATTGACCCCATGCTCCAGCCATGGCCTGGCCCATGCCATACAGTACATGGGACACGTAACCCAGGACATGGCCCATGCCCTACAGCACATGGCACACGTCCCCCAGTGCATGGCCCCTGCCATACAGCACATGGCACACGTCCCCCAGTGCATGGCCCCTGCCATACAGCACATGGCACACGTCCCCCAGTGCATGGCCCCTGCCATACAGCACATGGGACACGTCCCCCAGCACATGGCACACACCATATAGCACATGGCACATGTTCCCCACCATGAGGCAGACATGTCCCAGCACACGGCACACGTACCCCAGCCCCTGGCACACGCACCCCAGTTCCTGTCCCCATCACCAGCACACAGGGCACGGACCCTGGCCCCAGTCCTTTATTGACCCCGTGCTCCGGCCATGGCCTGGCCCCTGCCATACAGCACATGGGACACATAACCCAGTGCATGGCACATGTATCCCAGCACATGGCACACGTAACCCAGCACATGGCACACGTACCCCAGTTCCTGTCCCCATCACCAGCACACAGGACACAGCCCCTGGCCCCAGTCCTTTATTGACCCCATGCTCCGGCCATGGCCTGGCCCCTGCCATACAGCACATGGGACACGTAACCCAGTACATGGCACACGTCCCTCAGCACATGGCCCCTGCCATACAGCACATGGGACACGTAACCCAGTACATGGCCCATGCCATACAGCACATGGCACATGTTCCCCACCATGAGGCAGACATGCCCCAGCACATGGCACACGTCCCCCAGCACATGGGCCGTGTACCCCAGTTCATGTCCCCATCACCAGCACACAGCCCCTGGCCCCAGTCCTTTATTGACCCTGTCCTCCAGCCATGGCCTGGCCCCTGCCATACAGCACATGGCACATGTTCCCCACCATGAGTCAGACATGCCCCAGCACATGGCACACGTCCCCCAGCACATGGGCCGTGTACCCCAGTTCATGTCCCCATCACCAGCACACAGACCCTGGCCCCAGTCCTTTATTGACCCCGTGCTCTGGCCATGGCCTGGCCCCTGCCATACAGCACATGGTGATGACACACATCACATGGCCCACGTCCCCATCACATGGCACATGCAACACAGCACATGGCACACATCCCCCATCACATGGCACATGTCCCTGGCATGTGACCCATGCCACCCAGCACATGGCCCATGCCATACAGCACATGTACCATGCCATGCATCACATGTACCATGCTATGGAGCACATGGCCCATGTCATAAAGCACATGGGACACGTAACCCAGCACATGGCACATGCCATGGAGCACATGTACCATGCCATACAGCACATGGCACACGTGCCCCAGCACATGGCCCATGCCATGCATCACATGGCACATGCTATGGAGCACATGGCCCACGTCCCCTGGCACATGGCCCATGCCATACAGCACATGGGACATGTCCCCAGCACATGGCCCATGCCATGCATCACATGGCACATGCTATGGAGCACATGGCCCACGTCCCCTGGCACATGGCCCATGCCATACAGCACATGGGACATGTCCCCAGCACATGGCCCATGCCATGCATCACATGGCACATGCTATGGAGCACATGGCCCACGTCCCCTGGCACATGGCCCATGCCATACAGCACATGGGACATGTCCCCAGCACATGGCCCATGCCATGCATCACATGGCACATGCTATGGGGCACATGGCCCACGTCCCCTGGCACACCCCCGTCCCCTGGCACACCCCACCCCCCCCTCCCCCCGCCCCCCCCCCCCCGGCTCACGCATCCCCGTGCGCCTCCCGCAGGCGCTGGCGCAGCTCCCGCTGCAGGGCCCGGTGCAGCGCCCGGCACCCGGCGGTGGCCGCCTCCAGCAGCGGCTCCAGGCGCTCGCGGGGCAGGGGGGAGCTGAGCTGCAGCAGCGCCAGGAGCCCCGAGGCCGGCAGCAGCCCCAGCGCCAGCCCCGGCCCCGCCGCCGCCTCCTCGGCCCCGCTGGGGTCCGCCAGGGCCGTGGCCTCCGCCAGCGCCGCCGAGCCCGAGCACACCAGGTCCCGCAGCGGGATCCCCGCGTCCAGCACCGCCAGAGCCGCCGCCGTGGTGCCGGCGCAGCTGTGACCTCCGTCTGCCTGCAGCACCTGGGGGGGGATACAGACATCACCATGGTGATGGGGATATGGGGATATGGGGATATAAGGGCATAGGGATACAGGGACACGCCGTGGTGCCGGCGCAGCAGTGACCTCCGTCCACCTGCAGCACCTGGGGGGATACAGGGATATAGGGATATCAGCATGGGGATATAGGGATATAGGGATACAGGGACACGCTGTGGTGCCGGCGCAGCAGTGACCCCCGTCCGCCTGCAGCACCTGCGGGGATATAGGGATACAGGGATATCAGCATGGGGATACAGGGATATAGGGATACAGGGACAGGCTGTGGTGCCGGCGCAGCAGTGACCTCCATCTGCCTGCAGCACCTGGGGGGGGATATAGGGGATATAGGGATATAGGGATATCAGCATGGGGATATGGGGATATAGGGACAGGCTGTGGTGCCGGCGCAGCAGTGACCCCCGTCCGCCTGCAGCACCTGCAGGGATATAGGGATATCAGCATGGGGATACAGGGATATGGGGATATGGGGATACAGGGACACGCTGTGGTGCCGGCGCAGCAGTGACCTCCGTCCGCCTGCAGCACCTGAGAGGATACAGACATCACCATGCTGATGGGGATATGGGGATATAGGGATATAGGGATATGGGGATACAGGGACACGCTGTGGTGCCGGCGCAGCAGTGACCCCCGTCCGCCTGCAGCACCTGGGGGGATACAGGGATACAGGGATATCAGCATGGGGATATGGGGATACAGGGATATAGGGATATGGGGATACAGGGATATGGGGATACAGGGACACGCTGTGGTGCCGGCACAGCAGTGACCTCCGTCAGCCTGCAGCACCTGAGGGGGAACAGGGATATCAGCATGGGGATATGGGGATATGGGGATACAGGGATATAAGGGTATAGGGATATGGGGATACAGGGACACGCTGTGGTGCCGGCACAGCAGTGACCTCCATCCGCCTGCAGCACCTGCAGGAGGTCAGCGTGGGGACATGGGACAGGGATACAGGGATATGGAGACAGGGATACAGGGACACAGAACAGGGATACAGGGACACAGATACAGGGATACAGGAATACAGGGACACAGGCACACAGAGCAGGGCTACAGGGACACAGAGCAGGGATACAGGGACACAGAGCAGGGATACAGGGACACAGAACAGGGATACAGGGACACAGGGATACAGGGATACAGGGACACAGAACAGGGATACAGGGACACAGATACAGGGGCATGCATACAGGGATACAGGGATACAGGGACACAGAACAGGGATACAGGGACACAGAGCAGGGATACAGGGACACAGAGCAGGGATACAGGGACACAGAACAGGGATACAGGGACACAGGGATACAGGGATACAGGGACACAGAACAGGGATACAGGGACACAGATACAGGGGCATGCATACAGGGATACAGGGATACAGGGACACAGAACAGGGATACAGGGACACGGAACAGGGATACAAGGATACAGGGACAGGGATACAGGGACACAGAGCAGGGATACAGGGACACAGATACAGGGATACAGGGCCACAGGCACACAGAACAGGGCTACAGGGCCATGGGTCCAGGGCCACAGGCACACAGCACAGTGCAGCTCGCAGTGTGGCACCAGCACCGTGCCGTCAGCCTCACCGCGTCCCAGCACCATCCCCCAGTGCTCCCCCCCAGTGCCCCCATGACCCCAACATCCCCCCATTTCCCTCCCCTACGTCCCAATGCCCCCCCAATGCTCCAAACACCCCCTGCCACATCCCTGCACTGTCACCCCCGATGTCCCCCCAGTATCCCCATGTCCTTCCCCAATGTCCCTCCCCATGGCCCCAGTGGCCCCTCATGTCCTCCCCAGTGTCTGAGCACCGTTAACCCCCTGCATCCCTCTCTATGTCCCTCCCATGTCCCCCCCATGTCAACCCCACATCTCCCCATGTCCACCCCATGTCCCCCCACATCTCCCCACATCCCTCCCCATGTCCACCCCATGCCCCCCATCTCCCCCCATGACCCCCCACATCCTTCCCCATGTCCACCCCACATCTCCCCACATCCCTCCCCATGTTCCTCCATGTCCACCCCACATCCCCCCATGTCCACCCCATGCCCCCATCTCCCCCCATGCCCACATCTCCCCACATCCCTCCCCATGTGCCCCCATGTCCATCCCATGCCCCCTGCATCCCCCCCCCCCATCTCCCATGCCCCCATCCATCCCCATCTCCCCCATGTCCACCCCACATCCCCACATCTGTCCATGTCCACCCCATGTCCCCCCACATCTCCCTACATCCCTCCCCATGTGCCCCCATGTCCACCCCATGTCCCCCCATCCCCCCCTACATCCCCCCATCTGCCCCCATGCTCCCCCACATCCCTCCCCATGTGCCCCCATCTCCCCCCCCATCCCCCCCCATCTCCCCCCATGCCCCCATGTCCCCCCATCTCCCCCCATGCCCCCCCCCCCATGTCCCCCCCACCCCATCCCCCCGTTACCTGCACGTAGACGTCGATCTGGGAGCGGGGGAAGAGCTGCGTGAGGACGGCGGCCTCGAGGCTCTGCTGCAGGCGCAGCCCCAGCTCCGCGCTGCCCCGGTCCCCGCCCGGCCGCCGCCGCCGCTCCGCGGAGCTGAAGGCAGCGAGGCTGAAGCGGCAGCGGAGGAGAGCGCGCTCCGGGAGCGCCCTCCCGCGGGGGCCCCGCACCTGCCAACCGGAACCGGAACCGGGA